CCCCCTCCCTCACCTCCCCCTCTCTGGCTCTGGGGGGGACCCAGGGCTCACTCATGCTGGGGGCTCTACCAGCCCCCTCCCCAGGGCCTTGTCCCTGCACTTGGAGCCCAGCTGGTCACCCAGGACAATCTCATCTCATCGCAGGGTCCTTAAAGTCTGCAAAGACTCTTTCTCCAAGTATGGCTGCTGCCACCCAACCAGGACACCTTAGGGGACACCTGCAGCGGCACCACGTCCCCTCCTGCCCTCACCCCCCACAAAGCCCTGCCTCGAGGCTCCTCTTTCTGTTCCTTCCTCTGGGTCCAGCTGTGTTTGCCTGACGGTGACCTTGGCGGTCTGCACCCCAGGCCGGGAGCAGGGAGGCCCTTCCCGCATACCCCAGCTGGGCTCTCCCTTCCCTGGCCCCTGGCGCTCCGGAGTCTGCACCACGGTGGCCGATCCAAGTCCTGCTGTCCTCCAGGAAAGGCCCTGTCCAGCACGGCCACGCCCCCTCCCGCTCCCCCAGCCCATGTCCCTCCTGTTGCCCAGGCCGACCCACACGGGAGGTGTTCCCCGGCGCCTCGCCCAAGCCTGGGGTCTTGGCGTCCCCAGCCTGGGTCTTGTCCCCTTGCTGAGTAGGAACAAGAGGACCCACAGCCACCTCTGCCCCTCACAGAGAGCTGGACACAGGGGTGTCCTCGTGAGCGGGGGCCCCTCCTGTGTGTGACCTGGGCCACTCTGCGTCTCAGTGTCCCTCTCTGTAAGGCGAGACCTTCTCCGGCCACTGAAGGCCCCGGGGCTGCCTTGCCTGGCCTCCTGGGGGCAGAGCCTGGGAGCCCGGATGACCCCAGGGCTCACTTTACCTAGGAGCCCAGCTCTGGTGTCCAGGGGCCGTGGTGGTCCTCCCGGTCTTTCCCTAGATGCTCTAAAGCCACCTTGGTCTGAAAATGTCAAGCTCTGGGGTGAATTTTGGGGACGATGTCAGCGCCGGCCCCTCCAGCAGTGGGATGGCGGCCCTAGGTGCGTGGACAGGAGCTGGGCAGCGCGTCAGAACCCCCTGGGCTCCGGTGCCAGGTCCCCTTGACCCCCTGGGCTGTCCAGCGTCACGAGCCTCGGTTTCCCCACAGGGTGCAGAACCCCYGCCCTCAGAGTCCCTGCAGGAAGAGGGGCTCAGCTCGTGCCCACCGTGGCCGCCCGTCCAGGGCTCGGCCTCCCTGCGGTCGCTGTTCTGTGGTCCACAACAGGGACAACGCTGCGGTGGGGGGGACACCGGCTGGGCCGGACCTCCCAGCCCAGATCCCGTCCCTGGCCCCMTGGCCATGTGACCTGGGGACGGTGGTCTTCTCGGCCTTGAAGTGGGTGAGGGTAGGCGGTGGCGCATCCCCTGGCGCCGGCCATCATCCCTGTGGGTCGTCACCCTGGTCAGGGACACGTTGAGCCCAGAGACTCTGCAAACGGAAGAGGGTCTCCATGTGGGGGCCTCAGGATCCCAGCAGGGAAGGGTCCTTGTCCCCTGGGGCCGCTGAGGGGGACGTGGGTGTCAGGACGTCCTCTGGGGACTGCCCACCCCCTGGGCCCCGCACTGTCGGCAGGCGGGGTGACCAGGCGCGTCCTGGCTGGCTGGGCCCATGCAGCAGGACAGCCCCCGCAGCAGGAGTGGGGTCCAGGGAAGGGGACCGCCACCCTCCGTCACGTCCTGGGGACACTCGGGGAAGATGCGGATTCCAGCCAGGTGCCCAGCGGTCAGCACAGAGCCCACGGAGCTAGCTGCCTGGGTTTAATCCCGGATGTCCCCCTGACCACCTGTGTGACCCCAGGCAGGGGTGTCCCCTGTGTCCCGGGCCGGCCTCTGTGAAGGGGACAGTACTCGCAGCTGCTCTCTGAGCTGCGGGTGACAGGGTGAGCGGGCACCCAGCCTCAGCCCTTGGTGGTGTCGATGGGGGTGGCTGGGGCCGCGCTCCCCCCGCAGGACGGGGGTGTCCCCGGCACGGGCAGGAAGTCAGAAGGACTTGTCCGCCTCTGTGTCAACTCCCGGGCTGCTGGCCGCGCACTGGGGGTGTGAACGCCAGGGCCATCCCATCCAGTGCTGGAGGCCGGAGCCAGGCACCACATGTGGGCAGAGCTGGCCCCTCCTGGGCCCTGGGGAGTCCATCCTGCCGGCTCCTGGTGGCCGCTGAGTCCCTCCGGTGCCCCCTGTGGCCGCGCCCCGTGGAGCTGCCCTGGGTGTCTTGGTGGAGACACCAGTCACAGGGCCCCTCCAGTGACCTCATTCCAGCTGGTGACGTCGGCAACACCCTCGTCCCAAACGAGGTCACGCTGCAGGCTCAGGAGCTGGGGCTTCAGCGTGTGAATCGGAGGGTAGGACACAGGGGGCCAGACGAGAGCCAGGGCACCGTGGGGAGCATCACACAGGGCCACCGAGGGGACACGGAGAGCCCCAAGGCCCAGGGGAGCTGGGGCCGCCTGGCCGCTGGGCACTTCAGCACCGTGGACAGCGGCGCGGCGGCTGGAGGCTTCTCTGGGCCCCTCCCTGGGCCGAGCTGCTGCCCCAACCACCCCCGCCACCACCCGCCAAGTCCCGCAGACAGGACTTCACAGGCCAAGAAGGTCGTGAGGGGCCTCTGCGCCCGCAGCCCAGTGTCTGGCGCTCACGCCTGATGTCTCTCAGGCCAGGGCTGGGCATCTTACCCGAGTCCTTCCCGGGAGAACGTGGGGAATGTCAAAAGGAGGCCGCAAAGGCCACCACAGGACAGCAGACGGTCACCTGCCTGGTGCCCAGAGAAGAGCACGAGGAATCTCTGAGGTGCTCCTAAAAGCCCCGAGGCGCCCACTTTGCTCATGTGACCACAGGATGGGCGCCACTCCTGGCCCACGCAGGGGACGGAGCGCCAGGCCCTGTGGTGGGGACGTGGCGGTGCCATCAGTTTGCACACTGTGGGACGGACTCGGTGGACCTCGTCCCAGGCCCCGCGTGCACAGAAACCCGGGGGACCTGGTGTGGCCGCCGCGCCCGTGACGCCCCACCAGCAGGAGGATGGGTGTGCCCTGGTGGTGTCCTGGGCACAGGGCTGTGCCATCCGCACCCGCCCGTGCCCACAGACGCAGCCCAGGCGCACGCACACGGGCCAGCTCCGCTAGAGCGCGGGTCCCAGCCCGGAGCACCATGCCGGGGCTCTCCTGGGGCTGGGGGCTGGGGGTGGGGACACCAGGCTCTGGAGGCTCCTTCTCCACCTGGGAGACGTGACGTGGCTTCAGGATCGTGTCACCTGTGCCCCTCGCCGCCATGTTTTTGGTGGCAAGACAGACACAACATAAAGCTCACCCTGTCCACCACTTTCAGTCCCCAGGAGTGGCTCGAAGCCGTGCCGTGGGTGCAGTGTCCCCACCGTCCATCTCCCTGTCCCCATAACATTAGCCCAGTCCCCTGACAGCAGGGCACCCGCCAGGCGACTTCCCGTCTCTGTGGACTTGGTCAGCTCCGGGACCCGATCTCAGGGGATTGGCAGCTTTGTCCTCCGCCCGCCTTCTTCACTAGCAGGACATTCTCAAGGCCCRAGGTGTTGGGTGTGTCGGTCCTTCACTCCTTTTCAATGCTGAGTAATATTCCACCAGGTGAGGACACCATGGTGTCTTGTACTCACCGGTCCCTTGGGTCACGCCCCCTTTAGGCCTCAGGGAACCATTCGGCTGTGTTCGTGGGTGCCCGAGGATCAGTTCTCTGGGGAATGCCCCCGAGTGGGATGCTGGGTCATGAGGTAAAACTACACTTTATTTCTGAGGAACTGTCTGTCAGGCTGATTTCCAGAGCGGCTGTGACCCGACACCCGGCTCAAACGGTTTCTGTTAGAGACCATTTTCAGCTCTGCCTGGTGGCCCCGTCCCTGCCRGGGACACGGCTCACCACGCTCCTGTGGGGCTGAGGTGGACCCCACGGAGCGCTCCTGGGCAATCGTGGGGCGGAGGCAGAGACCCGGGTCCATGTTCTGGAGCCGCAGCCAGGGCCTCGCGTCCCAGGCAGCGGCCGAGGGGCACCAGGTGGGGAGGCCTCCTGGGAGCGGCCCCCGGCTCCAGGCCAGCGTGTCCAGAGGCYGCGAGCTGCACGGTGCTCCCTGGCCTCTCGGTTTGCCTGGCTCCTCTGCCTCCACACCTCCCGTCGCGCCCGGGGGCGCCAGCCTCAGCCTGGGTCCCTCTCCTGACTGGCCCTGCCCTTTACCGCCGTGCCACGCCCTCCAGCTGCCTGCCCCTGGGTGGCCTGTCCTGTGGCCCCGCCATCTTCTCGCGGCCTGGCCGGGCGATGGCCCTCCCCCCCCCCCACGCCAGCCCTGCTCACCCGCAGCCGGGCCTCCTCCCTCGCGCCCTGTCACACCCTGGAGGGGGGTGGCTGTGGGCAAGCCTGGCTGCCCTCCATCGTGCCTGGCTGAGGCGCAGCTCAGCGGCGTTTGGTGCCCACCCCGGGCAGCCGCACTGGTCATCTCCAGAACCTTCCCTGCGCCCGGTGGCAGCTCTGTCTCATCGAGCTCAAGCTGCCCATGCCCTCCCAGCCCCTGGCCCCCACTGTCCACTTCCTGTGTCTGTGGGTGTGACTACTCCAGGGACCTCCTGTGACGGACCCTGCAGTGAGTGTCCCTTGTGTCTGGATCATGTCACTGACAACTTGTGCAGCATGTCAGAGCTTTGCTCCTGTTCCTGGCTGAGTAGTGTTCCAGCATGTGTCCATCCATCTGCTGGTGGACGTGGGACTGCATCCTCCACTGGGAGCGTGGGCTCTTCTCCTAACATCCCTGTTCCTCTCCCCCAGGCTGTGCCTTCCTCACCTACTGTGCCAGGGACTCCGCCATCAAAGCTCAGACTGCCCTACACGAGCAGAAGACCTTGCCCGGGGTGAGTCTCTGTGCTGTCTGGCGAGGTGGGTGGGGACTTGCTCTCAGCCTTGGGGTTCAGGCCCTTCCCAGATCAGCTGTGAAGCCCATGGCCTCTGACCCAGAAACACAGTTAAGAGCAGAGGGTAGAAGGCACCACCAGGTGGCATTGGCCGGGGCCCCCTGCAGCTGTGCTGTGTATTACGAGGCATGTGTGGTTGGCTAGGTTGTTTACTGCACAAGTGCCTGGCCCTACATGCAAGTGTCACTGGCCTCAGAGATGAGGAAGCTCGGCAGGCGGAGGCCCCGGGCAGGACCCAGCCTGGTGTGCTGAAGGCCCGGGGAGGAGCCCTGTGGCTGCAGCAGAGGAGGTGACGGAGGCCGGGTAGGGACGGGCAGGTGGCACAGCCCCGTGGGGCACGAGGAGCCCAGACCCTTCGGCTTTTCCCATAGAAAGGAACGGGGCCCCGGGCCCTTGTRGAGCGAAGGCAGCCACAGCCCTGGTGTGGGGACTGCCGTGTCCCTGGTGACCAGGAGGCTGGCCCTGGTGAGTCCTCCTATCCTTACTGGTGCCAGCAAGGAAGGTCCCCCTGAGCCAAGTCCCTAGGCCCAGGGACCTCAGGGAGCCTGCAGGCCTCAGCTCAGGGGCTCGGGGCTCCCTGTCCCTCCGGGGCTCCGGGGGACCCTGCCTGACAGTGGAGAGCGGGGGTGCGCCTTGGGCTGAAGGCGTGGCTTGCGTTGGACTCAATTTCAACAGGTCAGAAGGTGTGGGGTGGCCGCAGCTCGTTTGAAAGAAGGAAAAGCCCCCTTTGGGGTGGCTGCGGCTCCGGTGATGGGCACTCCGGTTGCCACTTCAGTGTTGTTCTCTTGTTCTCCAACCTGTCCTTGCTGTGTGACAGCGAGCCAGAAACTTAATCTCTGTTCTTTGGGACTGGAAGAGGGCAACATGTCAATGTGGGAGGAGGAAATTGTAGAGGAGGTGGTCATGGAGGGCTTCACTGAGGAGGTGACATTTGGGAAGAAACATGATGCTTTTTTTTTGTTTGTTTGTTTTGGGGGGGGGTTTTTTGTAACTATAATGAAATACCAGAGGCAGGCTGGTCCCTAAAGAAGAAAAAAAAAGGTTTATAAATAAAGCTCACCGTTCTGGAGGTCAAGGGCCTGTCATTGACATTGGCTCAGATCCGGTGAGGATGCCATGATGCATGGTGTCACGCGGCCGGAGGTGGGAGAGGAAGAGTGATGAGCCCGGAAGCCAGAGGGAGGGGAGGAGGGAGGGCCCTGTCCACACCTCAGGGACACGCCCCCAGGGACCTACGCGGCTCCTCCAGGCCCATCTCTCCAAGACCCCCAACACTGGGGACCAAGCCCCCAAGACAGGCCACCTCCCAACCCTGCAGGTGACAAGAAAGGGCTCTGGGCAGACGGACAGCACGGGCAAGAGTGACCCCGAGTCTGTGCAACGAAAGCCCCAAATTCACTCTCCTCCTCTTGACCCTCTGCCAGCCCCGCCCAGCCCAACCGGATTCCGGAGGCCAGCCCAGAGGCGGGGGGGGGGGGGGGGGGGGGGGGGCGGGTGACGGACCGCCAAGGGCCGCTCTGCCGCTGGGTCACAGGCCACCCGTGAATTCGCGGTTCCAAGCAGGAGCTCTGGGCTGAGCCTGGGAGTGCGTTCGCCGCGTGGTCCTGACCGGGAGTTGGCCTGGGCTGTGGCAGGACTTTGATTTGGTGGGGAATCTGCTTCCAAGCTGGCCCCTCGGCGGCCAGGGGTCGAAGGCCTCCCCAGAGCTCGGGGCCACGTGTGACAAGGAAGGAGCCGCCCTTGGAGCCCGAGCCTCACAGTGGCCTCTCATTCTCCCCGCACTGTCACTGGACAGTGCAGACTGAGAGAAGGACAGAGGGACTCACCAGTGGGCATCAGGTCCGTCCAGGGTCAGGTGCCAGCAAGCCACAGGGCAGGGGTGGACCCTGGGTGGAAGCAGACCCGCTGCTGGTGGTCGCCGGGGCCAGGGCCAGGGCCTTTTCCGCTAAGGTGGCCTCCTGCTCATGTGGCACCGCCCACCCGTCCTCCAAGCTCCGCCCACCCCGCCCTCCGCCCCCCCGCGCTCCGCCCACCCCACGCTCCGCCCACCCGCCCCGCCCACCTTCCATCTACCCACCCACCATCCCTCCCTCCCTCCCTGCACCGTCGGCCTGTCCTCACGCGTCCACTCCTTTGACAGTCTCCCTGGGCACCTGCTCCTTGCCGGGCACTCTGCTGAGCTTCCCTGGGACCTGTCCCCTTCCAAGTGGCGCCGCTGTCTGCAGGTGCCCACACGTGGCCCGTGACGCCCTCTGAAGCAGCTCCTCTCTCAGGCCCTGGCGCCACCTCCCCTCCCGGTCCCCAGAGCCCTGGTCCCCACATTCTGCTCTCAGAGTGTCTCCCTCTGTGTCACCTCGTCCCCGACACTGCTGACACCTTGAGCTTGACTCTGGGCTCCACCCAGCCGAGCTGGGCCCCAGGACGAGTGTCTCTGCCGCTTGGTGTCCTTGTCCCCTGACCATCTGGACAAACTTGGAGGCTGGGGGCAGAAGCAGGTCCTGGTCCCCAGGGATCCCCACTCCCTCACACTGACCCCTCAGTCCAGGGCTCGCGGGGACAGCTGTCCTACCTGCACTCCCTCCAGCCTGCCCTCGGGGGCCGGGTGTCTGTGTCCGGCTCGTGTGTCCTCGGCTGGCCTTTCCTCAGCTCTGGTGTGGAGTAGGGCGGGGGACAGCAGCCGAGACCAGCAAGGGAGTGGCCGCGGCGCCTGCGGAGGTGGAGAAGCCCCGCGGGTCGAGCAGACTGAGGAGGGGTCTCGGTGCAGATGGGCAGTCAGGGGCCTGGCAGCAGGTGACCTCAGGGGTGGATGTGCCCGAGGCTCCCGGGCCCCGGGTGGAGCAGGTCCGGTTTCGTAGGGCAGCTGTGGCCATGGACTGTGGTCAGGCTCAGGGCAGCCGGCTCTGCCTCTCACCGCTCAGGAGCCAGGTCCAGAGTCAGGGGGTGGCAGGGCCACTCTGGGCTCCTGGGAGAGCCGCCCATGTGTGCCCTGGCCTGTGTGGCATCCACTGCTGGCCCTTGTCACCTGCACCCCTGCCCCGGCTTCCTGCAGCCTCCCGACTCTCTCAGGGCCTCTCGATCTCCCTACAGAGATCTGGGGGTCGGGGCTCCCYACAGCTGGACGTGCGAGGCCCAGGGTTGACCCTCGGCACCACGTGAAGGAAAGAGACAAAACGAAGGTCAAAGGAAATACTGCCCAGAGCAGAGAGCCCGGAACTCAGAGGGTGACAAAGCACCCACCTCTGTCCCCTGAAGGCCGGTCCAGCTGCCCCTGCCGGGGGCCCTGGTCTTCCAGGGGCACATCTGGACTTTCCTTGTGGCTTTCCCACATGGCCACACCTCCCTTCCCTCCCGCCAGGTGCTGCCCAGTACTGCCTGCCCACGAGGATGGGGGCGTTTTGCTTCCTGTGGAGAGTGGGGACCATGGGTTGTCATTGTGGACTCTGTGCTGGGCTCGCAGTGGGGCCCTCAGGTGCCAGGAGGAGGAGCCGGCGTCCACCCGGGCCATAGGGAGCCACAGCGGCATTCAGAGGAGGAAGGGGCTTGGTGCGGTGCCTGGCAGAGGGGGGGTCAGCGGGAGAGGACAGTGGAGTGTGGGCGGGGCAGCCAGACGGGGTCCACCCTGCTCCCCCCCACATCATCTGGCTGGGGTCTTCCCTGGGCCCCAAATCTTCTAAAGGATCATGTTTCAAATAGGGTGGACTCTTGGCTTCACCCCGGGGCAGCAGAGGACCCTCCGGGAGGCCCTGCCCTCTCGGGGGCCCTGTGTCCCCACCTGTGACACTCCAGGGCACGTGGTTGGGAGCAGAGGACTGGGTCCCACCCACCCATGCCAAAGCCCAGGACCCTCAGAGCCCTGCCCCGGGACCTCCCGAGGTAGATGGGGTGGGTCCTCAGAGGGCCCGGGGACACCAGCAGGACCTGGCCCCTTCTGCCGCCTGCCCCTCTGGTCTTTGCCCGGTGTCATGTTGGTGGGGATTAAATGGTCACTGTGGGCTCCACCTGGGGAGACGTCTGACCGCCCCAGACTCCTACGCCTGCTTCAGAACCCCTGCACACGGCCGTCTTCACTGAGCCTGGGACAACTTTTGGTCCTTGGGTCCCCTCCGCTCTGGCCTGACCTTCTGTCCTCCACCCGCCCTGACCCCCCGAGTGCCAGTGTCTGCCAGTCTCCCCTGAGGTGGATGAATGTGGGCCCCCTGGGATCCCAGAATTTCTCCACTTGGAGGAGCCGGAAATGTTGTGGAATAAATAAAGGAAGGGAGGGTGGGGAGGGCTGCAGGGTGGAGAGAGGCCGGTGGAGGAGGAGGGAGGGCAGGCGGCGGACACCTCGGTGGGACAGATGGAGAGAGGGAGCCAGAAGGAGGTGGGCAGAGGCAGATGGGCGGGCAGGGGCGCAGGAGGGGTGGCGGCCGGCCTGCGTGTGGTGTGCGCCTGTGCGCCCAGGGCGGCCGGGCGGGCGGCGGCACGTGGATGCCAGCCTGGTGCGGCCCTGGCTCGTGGGTAAGGAGGGTGCTGGGCTGCGGGGCGGGGACCACCCGGCCCCAGAGACCGGTGCGGTGTGGGGACCTGGAGGGAGGGCTGCCCACCGGCTTCCTGGGCCAGATTAGGACCCCCTTCCCCACCACCAGGCTGCCCCAGGAGGGGGTCCTCCCAGGGGGAGGCGAAAGGTCCCCGTGTCCAGCGGCCAAACGAAGGGCGCGGATGGAGGGCAGGTACCCCAGGCCCCGAGAATGGGGTGGAGATGGAGGTTGGGTGATGGGGGCGGATGCTCTCCCGCGGCCGCCCCTCCCTCCCTCCCTCCCTCCCTCCCGCGGCCCATCCATCTCTCCAAGATCATATTTAAATATCTCTTTTGTGCGAGGCAGGAGCTGGGCTCGCCCCTCAGAGGCGGTTTCCGTGGCAACAACAATTGCCAGCTTCCGTGTGGTGAATCAGCGTTGCCATGGTAACCCCATCCTCATCTGCCCAAGGTGCTGGGAGGAGGGAGGAGGTGAGGCCCGCGGAGGCGGGTGGGAGAGGAGGGGGGCAGGAGCTGGGTCTCAGGTGCCCCCTGTCCCCCACGTCTGGCCACCCCAACCCAGAAGCCGATCGCATCTGGTTGAAATAATCTCCCCTCAGCCTCCAGCTAGCTGGGTGTGGTACCCAGGTGCAGAGGGCCTGGGGTGAGGTGGGGCGCGGGCTGATGGAGGGGGAGGGAGAGGTGGTTGGGCCTTTCCTGGGTGGTCTGAGGTGGTGGCTGCTGGTGGCTTTGGGGCAGGGGATGGGTTGGGGACAAACAGGGGCCTCTTTGCTTCTGGGCCTCCTAAAGCCGAGTTCAAGTCGAGGCGGCACTCAGAAAGGGGGAGGATATCAGAGGGGGAGGGTCTTAGCGTGACCGGAGGAGATGGGGGAGGGGAGGGGAGAGGACCCCAAAAGGGGTGGGGCTCAAGAGGGAAGGAGCCAGCTGGGGGGGCCCAGAGCAGCGGGGTGCTTGAGTGGGGGCCCAAGTGGGCTTGCAGCTGGGATGGAGGTGAAGGGGTCCAGAGGGGCGGAGCCGCGTGGGGGGAGGGGGCTGCACCGCGGAGCTACGGCCCACGGGCCCTGCCCACCGGCCCTGCGCAGCTCGGCCGCCGCTCTTGATTTTGCCGTCGGGAAGGTGGGTGCACAAGGTGCCGGTCTCGGGTCGTCCTGTAGTCTCGCGTGATTGGAAAAGCTGGCCTGTGGGGCCTTCTCGGCTGGACCTCAAAAGTCCGAGATGGAAAGAGCGGTCCAGAGACCGCGGGGCTCACGGATGTCCCTCTGGGAGGCCCTGGTGCAGCCAAGGGCACCTTCCTATGCTGGGAGACACAGGCGGCTCCCTTCTGCCGGTTCAGTTCTGCAAGCTCCTCTGGTTGCTCCACATCCTGCCCTGTGTGGACTGACGCAGGGTCCCCAGCTGCAGGGACAGCAGGACAGACACTTCCATCCCTGAGGCAGGGCGGGCCCGGGGCCCAGAGGTGGGAGGACCGCCAGCCGGGGGCCTGAGAGCTGGGTTTTGACGGATGAACAGGAGTACCCCAAGTCTCCACCTGAGGAGGAGAGCCCTGCCCAGGACCCGTGGACCCTTGCCTCCCTGCTTCTGCCCTCACACCTCAAATTCAGCTCGTGCCCAGGACTGAGCATGTGCGGAGGTGCCACCGTGGAGAGCAACTTCCACCGAAATGTGGCTTTCAGTACTGGGGGTTGGGGACAGGGGATTCCAGAACAATGGAACCATGGGCCCAGATGACCTGCTGGTCCACTGGAGTATGACAGTCCTTCCACCCAAAGCTCATGGGACCTGCCTAAAAGTAGTTGCCTGGGTGTATCTGTTAGCGACTGCTGGGTAACACACGGTCCCAGGCATTTTGTCTAATCCCTACTCTGGCGAATGCAGTTGGGACTTGTGAGATGATTCTTCTGCTGGCCCCTCCTGTGGGTCACAGTAGCTCACCCAAGTTTTCCCCCCTGACATCTCAGGGCTCCAAAAGGGCAAGGGACAGGCCTCTTGAGGCCCAAGCTCAGAACTTGTGCCACATTCTGTTGGTCGGATCTGTTGGTTGGACCAAGGCGCACACACAGCCAGGTCCAGATGCTGGTGCCGGGAAAAAACACCCCTCTTCTTGATGTCAGGAACTGCAAAGTGGCATCACCTCCAGGGTCAGGAGGAACGCAGCCACCTTTGCAAGTAGCCTGTCGGGTTTGGAGGGCCGAGTCTTCCTGGAGGAGGGGATGATAGCCCGTGGATTTTGAAAGCTAAGAGTTTGCCATTCGGTCCCACTGGGGGCTTGTGTGTCATTTGGTTTGACTGGGATGTTAGGGGGCTGGGGGCTGGTGGATGCTGAAGCCAGGGAGGTGAGCACGGGTGCCCAGCAAGGCTCAGGAGTGGCCGGCTGCCCATCTTGACTTTGCCCTCCTCCTCTTTCCACAGATGGCCCGACCGATCCAGGTGAAGCCTGCAGACAGCGAAAGCCGCGGAGGTAGTTGTCATCTCTCCACGGCTGCCGGGCTGGGGTCGGCAGAGGAATGGGGAGGAGGGAAATCCCTTCCTACCTCTCACTGAAGGGGACAGTGGGTGGGGCCTGTGGATCGCAGCTGGCCTTGGCTGCCAGAGCCGCAGTGTTCACACGCCCCCTGGTGGTGGGACCGGTCCGGGAACGGGGCTCTGCCCAAGACCAGCTGCTTGTAAATATCCCACCCCTTTCAGGGTGTGCTAATGGGGGTCTTCAGAGAGGATGGGGTCCCGAGGGCTAGGGGTCCGGCTCTGGGACGTGCGCGTGCGTGTCTGCAGGTGTGCATGCACGTGCGTTCCTGTGTCCAGACGTGCAGACTTGCTGCGCTGCAGCTGCTACACATGAACACATGCGTGCAACGTGCCGGGCACCCGCCCGCTTGCAGGCACGACTGTGCCTGGCCTGTGAGTGGGCATGTGTGCTCACGCCCGTGTGCTTGGCTGTTGGAGCTGGGTGTGCGGGCTGACGTGCAGGCTGGGGCCAGAGTCTGTGTGGGGCTGGACGCTGGTGTGGGCTGTACCCCTGGAGGCATGCTCAGCCGTCGTCTTCAGTGGCCTGGAGCCTAGCCGTTCTTCTCCCTACCCTGGGTGGAGGGAAGCTAAAGGAGAGACCAAGGGGAGGGGAAGTGCGGGGCAGGGCTGTTGGGACCTCTGTGTCTGTGTAGGAGCCTGGTTAAGCCTGTCTGGGTCGGGAACCGCTTTCACTTTCCACCCTGGCTGCCATGTAGGAAGCAGGAGAGGGGCAGGCCTGTGGGTCTGCAGGACTCCCGCGCCCCTCCGCCCCCACCTCTAAGTATCGCTCCTTCTCCTCTCTTCCTGCTTCCCTGGTTCCCTCTGCTCTCTCTCTCTCTTTCTCCCTAATGCTCAGCCTCTCGGCTTCTCTCTTCCTCCCACCCTTTTGAGTGACAGCTGCCCAAGAAGGGTTTCCATAGTAACCAGCTCACCATCCCTGGGAGATGAAGCTGCTACTTTCCTGATTACCAGGGAGCAGTGCCATCACAGAGGGGCACGGCTCTAGTGTCTCAGGGGAGAGGCTGGCCCAGCCCCTGGCCCCAGACTCAGGCAGATTCCGCCAGCCCCCCACCCAGGTGCGCCAGGTGGGCTCCAGGCTTCCCTGGCACTGGGCCTGGTGCACATGACCTCTCACTGGACATCGGTTGACTCTGTCTCCCAGCCCCAGAAGGGTTGGGCAGGGGGTTCTGCTGTCACTGTTGAGAGCGGGGTCCTGACGTGTACCCAGGCTTGCAGACTTGGTACAGCAGGYGGTACCCATCTCCATGGTCCTGTGTGTGGGCTCTGGGTTGCACAGGAGGGAGACTGTCTTTGCCCGGGAGCAGCCAAACAGGGCCTGGGACGCACGCAAAGGCTGGGAGGTGGGAACACTCAGGGTACAGGGCGTATGGAGGGATCTGGGCAGACAGAGGCTGGCCGTCCTTGCCTTGAGGCTGTGTCCCCCGATCCCCTGCATGCGCAGAACAGGAGCCAGCGAACCTGGGTGAACCTGGTCCATGCACACTGGAGGGCCAGAGAAATCACCGAGGCCCGGGACTCGGCTGAGGGGGTGTCTCCGCCCACAGGGGACCGGAAGCTGTTCGTGGGGATGCTGAACAAGCAGCARTCGGAGGAGGACGTGCTGCGGCTGTTCCAGCCCTTCGGGGTCATTGATGAGTGCACCGTGCTCCGGGGGCCTGACGGCAGCAGCAAAGGTGTGGGGGCGGGGCCTGAAATGGGGTGGGGCTGCTCCGGGGCGGGGCCGCGGGAAGGGACCAGGTGGCCTGGGCACGTGGAGGGGAGCTGCCGGTGGGCGGGTCCAGCGGGAGGGGCTGGCTCGGCTGGACGCCGGGTGGAGCCGCTTCCTGGGGGGCAGCCGATCTGGGCCCCCAAGTGCTTTTGGAACCGTCACAAAATTGTGCTGCCACCTGCCCAATTCCGAACACTTGACCACACTACCCAGAGCCGCCTGGCACTTTCTCGGCGCTGTCAGGAGGTGTCCGTGGTCTGTCTGCCCTGGGGCCTCTGTCCCTGCGGCCCTCTGGCTGGATTTGCCAGTGTCTGGTGGTCTCTGGCCTGGTGGCACACGGCCCCCTCCGCCTGCCTCTGGACATGGCCGGGTCTGTCTGCAGTCCCTGCGCTTAGCCTGACTCTACCCCAAGACTGCCCTGTCCAGTGGTGTGTCGCCTCGTCCTGCATTCTGGGGACAGCATCTGGACCTTGTGTGGGTGCTGGGCTGTTGGCAGGCTTGGCCCTCCCTCTTCTGACAGACAGGGCTCCCCGAGGTCCCGCCATGCTCTGCTTGTGAACACAGCTGCCAGGCCGCCTGGTTTTCTGGCTGACCAACTGAATGGGTGACAGGCCACTGGGCGGGCGGTGGCCGAGGTTGCTGGGCGACTGTCTGGCCCGGCCCTCTGGTCGCACAGCAATCTGAACAAGCAGCGGCTGTCCTCCAGCCGCGACTGCTGGGTGTCTGGCTGTGTCTTGGGTGGCCTCCGGGACTCCCTGTGGCCACCCTCCCACGCTCTCCCCTCCCCCTGTCTTGGAACAGGCTGTGCCTTCGTGAAATTCTCTTCTCACACAGAGGCCCAGGCGGCCATCCACGCCCTCCACGGCAGCCAGACCATGCCGGTGAGTGGGAGTGCCCTTGGCCACGGCAGGGGGCATGGGCAGTGAGGGGGACAGGGACAGAGTCATCATCGCAGCCAGCCAGTAGCCTCTGGCTCTTCTTCAGGGAGGGCACAGGGGGCAGAGGGCCTGCAGCCGTGGGCTGTGGGGAAGGTGCAGGCGAGTGAGTGTGTGTGTGCAAGTGTGTGTGGCAGGGTGGGCGTGCGTGTGCTACAGGTGTGTGCCGTGAGTGCGCGCATGCATGCGAGTGCAGCTGTGAAGGCATGATTAGTAGGTGTGTTGAGAGTGCAGTATGGACGCGTGTGCACTTGTACAGATATGTGTGCTCACGTGTGCTCATGTACGTGTGTGTATGTGAATTAGTGCACATGTGTGTTAGACCTGAGTGTGCAAATCTGCGTGAGCCTGGATGACAGGGCAGTGTGTGTGTGTGTGCTGCAGGTTTGTGCGGCCGCTGTGCCCGTGTGTGCCAGCATGCCCGTGCACACGTTGGTGTGTGCACACCGAGTCTGTGCAGGCCGAGGGAGGTGGATGGTGCGCGTGGATGTGTGGGTCAGCGGGTGTGAGCGTGTGCCTGCACGTGTGTGCGTCGGGGTGTGGGGGCGAGCTGGGGAACATGACGAGGACAGGGTGGGGATGGGCATGGCAGGCAGGAGGGACAGTGGAAGATGGGGCTCGAGGTCCTGCAGTTCAGGACAGAGGAGCCCAGGCTTTCTCCTCAGGCAAGGGTTTCTGGCTGCCCTGGGTGGGTGACTGGCCACTGGCCGCATCGCCATCTCTGGCTGGGCAACTGTCCGGCCGTCTGCTCACAGAGCTGCTGTCTCCCAGCCACCCTTCCCCCAGAGACAGGGAGGCCCGGCCAGTGGCGACTGTTCCTTTGGGTCAAACAAGGGGATGGAGGGGGTGACCGGGGGCCTGGACCCAGGTCCAGGTCGGGGAGCATAAGGCCTGAGTTGGGGCCGGGTGGACAGGAGGGCCAGTCTGGAGAGACGCTGGTGAGGGGAAGGGTCCTACTGGCCCTGGCGGAGGGGAGGAGGCGTGTCTCGGGGTTCCCAGGCAGGATGGGGCCCCAGGAGCCACCCTCTCTGCACACAGATGTCCACATCTGCCGGCCCCAGGTTCAGCTCTCCTTGAGCTGTCTCTCAGAGCTGTCTCTTGCTCAGAGCTTGCCCTGTGGGAACGAGCTCTCTGGGGGTCAGCAGGTCAGCAAGGGCAGGCCGCAGCGTGCACCTGGGGGCTGGCAGGAGGGTCCGACTGGAGGGAAAGCTTCTCCCTTCCCAAACCCCAGGGTCAGGGTCAGCTGCCTTTGACGGGTGGAGAGCTGGCCCTGTGCCCCTGTGGCTGTGTCCTGATGCAAAGCCCCTGCTGGCCACTGCCTGGGCTGCCCGTTGGTGTGACATCCATATCTCAGCCCAGCTGGGTGAGCTGTCCCCTAGTTGCACCCCTATCCCAGCAGGTGTGTCTTCTAGCTGTTGCTCCTGGTGGGTGACAGTCCCCTAGGTGGTTGTGCAGGCACTGTGCCCCAGATGCAGCCCAGGGCCTGGACGTGGCACCTGTGCAGACGCCAGGCCCAGGATGCTGACAGCCATGGGGCTTCCTGTGGCCTGGGCTCCTGCAGCTGTGAGCTGCAGACACGGCTGCGGTACTGGCATGGGCTGCCCTCACCAAGGCACCTGGGCTGGCAGGCTTGGGGGCCTCAGGTCCCGGCTACCTCCTGCCCTTCTCCCCCTGCTTGCCCCCACCCCCCAGGGAGCCTCCTCCAGCCTGGTGGTCAAGTTCGCAGACACCGACAAGGAGAGGACGCTGCGGCGCATGCAGCAGATGGTGGGCCAGCTGGGCATCCTGACGCCGTCCCTCACCCTGCCCTTCAGCCCCTACAGTGCCTACGCCCAGGCTGTGAGTGGCCCCAGCAGACGGGCTGTGTCCACGGCTCCCAGCGAGGCTCTCCCGTGTGCCCCGGGGTCCCGCCTCTTGGCCTTCCTCCTGTGCCTTGCTCCACCTCTCGGGCYCAGGACTGTGTGGCTGAGCCCCCAACTCCAAGTCGCTTCCTTCCGAGCCTAGAAGAGCCCCTACCCATGAACCGAACCCCAAGTCCAGGCTAAAACTCGAATTCTGGACCACCAGGCTCACTCACCAAATCTAGACTGAGCCCTGACCCCCACCTTGACACCAAACTCAGACTGAGTCCCTCGTCCAGGCTGCACCCTGGCCCTGAACTAACCCCTAATCTCAGATTAGACCTACCGTGGGCTGAACCAAGATCCTGGCTGCCTCCAATCTAGATGAGGTCCAATTCTGGCTAAAATCCCCAATCCAGGCTAAGCCTGAGCTCTGACCTGCCTGAGCCCAGGTGCAGCTTCCGTTTCCAACTGAACCCTGAGCCGTTCTGAGCCTTGATCCCTGTCTGAGCCCTGATTCCAGCCAAGACGCACGCAGCACGACACCCCCTTCTCCCGGTCGATGGACCAGCCTCCCCTTTGAGCCTTGATCTCAAGGCAGACCGTGCCCACTGACGTCCTCTCTGTCCCCAGCTCATGCAGCAGCAGACGACTGTGCTGTCCACCTCGGGCAGCTACCTGAGCCCCGGTGTGGCCTTCTCACCCTGCCACATCCAGCAGATCGGTGCCGTCAGCCTTAATGGGCTGCCTGCCACACCCATTGCTCCTGCCTCTGGTGAGCATCTGTCAGGGGCCCAGGATAAATGGGCAGGACCCCAAGCCAGCAGCCAAGGCTCCCCTGACCTCTTCCTCTCCACAGGGCTGCACTCGCCCCCGTTGCTGGGCACGGCTGCTGTGCCTGGCCTCGTGGCTCCCATCACCAATGGCTTCGCAGGTGTGGTGCCCTTTCCTGGTGGGCACCCTGCCCTGGAGACCGTGTATGCCAATGGCCTTGTGCCCTACCCAGGTAACTCAGGGTGGTCCCCTGAAGCCCAGTGGAACAAGCATGAGTCCACACCCCCTGGAGCCCAGGGAGCAGAAGGGCGGACGAAGGAGTCCCAGCAGAGCAGATGGGAGCTGTGGTCCCAGGAAGGGAGGCCTGGCAGGTGGGAACAGAGGAAGTAGCCCAGGTGGTTCTGGGTTCACATTTCAGTTTGGTGGCCCAGGGTTGTGTGAGTCTCAGCTCATCCAGAAAATGGGGACCAGGTGTGGTGGTGCAGGCCCGTGATCCCAGTAGCTTCCGAGGCTGAAGCAGGAGGATTGCAAGTTCAAGGCCAATCTCTGCAACTTAGTGAGACCCTGTCTCAAATATTAAAAAGGGCTGGGGATGTAGCTCAGTGATAGAGCACCCCTAGATTCAAACCCCAATACTGAAAAACAAAAAACGGAAAATGAGGCTAATACCATCACCTCACGAGGACAGCACCAAAAGTTGTACGTGTTAGTTGTCCTGATTGGGGAGGACACGGATGCCTTCATTCATTCATTTGCTGAATAAATAATGACTGAGCACCGATTGGGCTGCAGCTGCCCTCGTGGGTCAGACAAGCACTTCTCTCTACCCTCTACCCCTCCCAAAGCCTCCTGCCAATAAGTCATCTCTACCTACCGTGGAGGAGATTCTGGTTTAAACTCTTTACTTTGTAATCATTGGAGGCTAGGTGTGTGCCTAAATAATACAGAGCAGCCTGGGTGTCCTCGTCTGCATGCTTGCTGTGCACTGGCATCTTGCCACCATTGCAGAGGGTCAGGACACTGACCTAGCTATGTACGGTCCGCTCCAGACCTTATCTGGATTTCCCATTTTCACCCTGCCCCTATGTGTATCTGTGCCATTTTGGTAACATATTTGCGTAACCACCACAATCAAGACACAAACGCTTGCCATCCCTTCGGTCCCAGCCACCACCCCTCTCCTCTAGCGGCAGTTTCCCCCAGACTCAGCGGTTTGGGTGGTGGGGACCACCTCTCCCGGCCCCTCTTCCCTGGCAGCCAGAGGTCTGGGGGGGGGGGGCGGGGATCCGCAGGGCATCTGATGTGCCAGCGGTGGGAAGAGGATGGGGCAGAGTGAGGGGAGGAAGGGCTGAGTGGAGAAGCAGGGGAGGAGTGAGGGTCACCCCTGAAAGCCAGGGGGTCAGGACAGGGCGAGCAAGATGAAGGGAGTCTGAGAAACCCGGGGTCCTGTTGGCTTCTGCGATTTGCTCTCTGCGCCGCTCCGAGAGAGAGGCTTCCCCTCTCAGCCTCGGTGTCCCTACCTGTAAAAACGGGGTCAGCACACAAGCGAAGCGGGGGCGCACGTCCCTTTCCCGCCCTCCTGCTCTTAGGGATGGGGTGGCTGGAGGACTTCTGCCGCCCCCGGCCCACCCTGCCCCTCCATCTGCCCCTCCATCTGCCCCGCAGCTCAGAGCCCGACGGTGGCTGAAGCGCTCCACCCGGCCTTCTCGGGAGTCCAGCAGTACACAGGTAGGGAGGCAGCCCGGCGCAGCGAGCGGACCCGCCCCTTCTCCACCGGCCACTGCCGACTCTGGCCACGCCCCTCCCCCCTCCGGTGCCCAGCCACACCCCCTGCCTCTGGCCCCACCCGCTCAGGTCACACCCCTGTCCTGCTTTCATCCCCTGGCAAGGTTCCTGGCCGCACTCCTGTCACCCCCAAAACCGGACCCCCAAAGTGGACCTGTCCCTTAAGGCCCAGGCTTCAAACACAGCCCCACCACCTGGGTTTGCGCTGCGGCGTGGGGCCTCCCCTTTACCACGCCTCCGGCCCCGCCCCAGCACCTGACCACGCCCCTCTCCTGCTCTCCGGACTGACCACGCCTCTGCCAAAGTCCCGGCCCCGCCTCTGGCTCCGCTTCCTAAGGCCTAACGGTGGCCTCGCCTTCTGCTATGGCCTTGCCCCCTCCAATGTGGCCTCGGCCCTTCCTTCCTCTGGGGCCCACCCGGGTAGCCACTCTCCCTTATGGCCGTGGCCCTGCCCCTTGCTGTACCCCACCCTGTGTCCCTCAAGTTGTGGTCCCGCACAATTTCCGCCCCGCCCCTGGCCCCGCCCCTCATCCCTGTGCCCGGCCCCGCCCCCTGGCCACGGCTCCGTCCCACTCCTGTTTGGCCTCCTGTGCCCCGCTCCCGCCCCACCCCTCGAGTCATGGCCCCGTCCCTCATCCATGGCCCGGCCCCGCCCCTGAGCCCTGGCCCCGCCCCGAGGCCTTGGCCCCGCCCCGCCCGCGCCGCCCGGCTCCGCCTCACGCCCCCTCGCCGGGTGTCTCGCTCCGGTCTCCGCAGCCATGTACCCCACCGCGGCCATCACGCCCATCGCGCACAGCGTGCCCCAGCCGCCGCCCCTCCTGCAGCAGCAGCAGCGAGAAGGTGAGGCGGCCGCGACCTCCCCGGGCGCCAGCCCCGCCCTCTGACCTCCACCTGCTGACCCGCGCCGCCGGGGGCCTCCGGGACCTGCGGGGAGCGCTGGGTCCTAGCCCTTCCGGCCTGGCGCAGCTGCACGCCGCCTGGGCCTTCTCTGGCTGGCCACAGATACTCCCTCTCTGATCCTCAGTTTGCTCCCCTGGACAGTGGGAGCCATGCTGGCCTCCACCAGCCTCTCCAGAGGCCAGGAATTTGGGAGAGAAGCCCTGGCACGCTCGAGGAGCGGCTGGGTAAACCGAGGCCTCTCCAGGAGAGCCAGGGCTGTCCAGGGAGGGAGGACGTAGATTCAGGAGTCTGACAGCTGAAGTTCAAGTCCGTGCATTTCTGACTCGAGGAGGCCCCTAAGCCTGAGGCCCCTGTGCCGGGTTTCTTCCTCTGCCACACCTGTGTCCATCTGGGCCCCGGGGTGACCGGGAGTGAGGGCGTCTTCAGGACAGGCGACCAGCCAGAGAAGCTGAGGGCGCCTGACTCAACGGCTTGGCCCAGTTTCTCCCTTCACATTGGCCCGTGGGTGGGAGCCTACTTTGGGGTGAGCGCTGGGCTGAGGGGGTCCCCTGGCTGTGCCCACCAGCTGCTTCCCGTGGTGGGTCAGATAGCATGTCCTCTGGAGGCTGTGTGACAAGCCACTACCCCAGACGCATGTGTTTGTCAAGAGTCGCCGCCAGCACCTCCACATGTCAGACATTCCCAGGACCTCGCAGCACCCCCATTTCTTACCGCTGGATGGCACCAGCAGGGACTCTGTAGCATCACTGTGTCCTTTTTTTGAGGGGGGATGACTCTGGCCTGGGTGTCCCCTCCAAGCCCCTCTCCACCTCCGCCCTCAGCCTGAGTGGACTGGGTGAACGTTGGTTGTCTAAACTCCGCCTTCCACATCTGCAGGTTTGGAATCAAGGATTCGACCAAGGTCAGGTGGAAATATGCAGACAAGTGTCATTTTGTCAGCACTGAACACATAAGGACCATTCCCTGTCCTTATCTCCAGTACAGTGTAGCCACTGTGCGCCCAGCGTTGGCATTGTATCAGGTGCTTGTCACCCGTGATGACGTCAGTCTGCGGGAGGACCCTGCACCATGTTGTGGACATGAGCACTGTGGGATCAGTGTCTGTGGGGACCTGGGATCCACCTCCTGAGGGCACTGAGGGCTGACCTGCAGGCAGGCTGCGGTGGCACTGTGTCCCCAAACCCAAAGAGAGTCCGGGAATCAGTGGTCCAAGCCCACCAGCAACGTGCTCAGGGAAAAAGCTGGAGATTGATAAAAGTGGTCCTAGAAAGAAAGGTCGTGGCTTTACACCTGTTCAGTGGCCAAGGAGCACCTGGGAGTGTGGGAAAGACCTGAGGTCTGCACGTGGACGTGGTGGCCAAGGGGTTGCCATGCGTCACTGTGGAATGGTGGACAGAGGGTGGGTACCTGGAGTCAGGCGCAGGGTCTGGGTGCCTCAGTCAGGGGTAGCAGCTGGCGGTGTGCGGTGTGTGCGTGCAGCGTGTCTCCTGATGAGCTCAGTTCTGTGGGGTACGCTTTTCTGCAATCACCCAGTGTTTGGGGGGGAATAAAATAGGAGATAAACAAGTGCAGAATTCAAGTTGTGCTCAGAATCAACTTGTCACCTGCCAGCTGTATTGGTGCAAACCTGAGCTCTAGAAAGAGCTCCCCAGCAGAGCCCTGGTCCTTGTGCCGAAGGAAAGGGGTGTCCCCACAGTCCCGGCCGTGTRTCCTGCAGGGAGACGGAGCCATAGAGCACACTGCCGCTTTATTTATGATTTCATCTTAGCCGTGCGGTGGGGATTATTTGGGCTGGGGCTTGTCTTGGAGGACTAATCGTGACTGTTTTTAACAGCGACTTCTGTTGGCATGGTATGTCCTTGCTCAGTTACCTACGGTTTCTGTACGTCTGGGGTTCAGGACTCAAGAGATCATGTTTACTGCATCTGAGTTTCTTTTCATACCCTCTGAATTTTGAAAATCACCAAGGCCTGGGGACTATCCCTGTCTGGGGCTTGGAACTCTGGGAATGTTCTGTTCTGTTCTGTGATGACTGGGCCTTCTGAAAACTTAGTTTTATTTTAAGGGGGTGCTGGGGAGGGGACCCGAGGCCTTGCCCGTGCTAAGCATGTGCTGTTCCTGGGAGCCGCCCCGCCCCGGCTTGCTGGCCACAGTGGTTTATCTTAAACTGCTGAAGGACTTAAGGCGGATCTGTGCGGTGGCCAAGACTCCCCTCGCGGGCCAGGCTGACTGGCTGTCATGATGGCCTAGAGCCAGTGTAGGGTGGGTCTTCTGGGGGCCGGGGTCTCTGGGAGCTCTGGACTGGCCAGGGTGTGGGCCACAAGGCCTGGCTGGCTGCCTGACCCTGGCCTGAGGCTTTTCCTGCTTGGGCATATCTGGGGGGGGGGGATTGTGGCCTGCCCCTCGCCCCTGACTCCAGGCCCCAAGGAGCCAGCCCCCTCCCCACAGCTGGACTCCAGGGTGTGGGCTCCGGGCTCCGCCTCCTCTCCTTGGGGGCTTTATGTCTTTCTCTCCCCCACCTGCAGGTCCCGAAGGCTGTAACCTGTTTATCTACCACCTCCCCCAGGAGTTTGGAGACACGGAGCTGACCCAGATGTTCCTGCCCTTCGGCAATATCATCTCCTCCAAGGTGTTTATGGATCGGGCCACCAACCAGAGCAAGTGTTTCGGTAAGTAGCTGCCCTGGAGCCGGGCAGGCCTGGGCCAAAGGAAACACATTCACGATCAGAGGGTGCACTCATTAGGCACCACTGTGTGCCAGGCACTTTCATTATATCCTTTCAAAGGCCCACTCAGTCAACCCAGACCTATTGTGTGCATGTACTATGTGCACCTACTGTGTGCCAGGACTGTGCTGGGCACTGACATGCAGCATCAGGAGGTCAGCAGAAGTCCCTCCCCAGGGGGTCTCCCAGCTCCTACCCACCTGTGGCACAAGCATCCCAGGGGACGTGGCAGGAGCTGCCCTAGAAGGCAGGCACCGTCTCAGTTTACGGAGGGAGGAAAGAGAGTCTCAGAATGGGCCAGGAACAGGACTGAGGTCACACGGGAAGGAAGGGACCCACCAGTGCCCGAGCCGGCCCCCACTCCAACCTCCAGGGAGAGATGCTGGAGGCACGCGCACGTTGGCTGGTACCTCCTCAGGGTCACTGTCCCCCTGAGCCTCAGTCTCCCAGACTAGACAGTGGGTGGGCAGGCGTGGCCAGAGCAGGGAGACCCCAGACCTGCCCCAGCTCCAGAGCCACTCCTAGCTCTGCCCGGGCCCTGGCAGGTGGGCAGGACCCACACCACCTGGCCTGTGAGGGCCAGGAGGAGGGCGGGAGGCAGGGGGTGGCCTGGAGGTGCCCGGCAGAGGGAGCTGGGCTGGTGGACACCTAAGGAGCGTGCTGGAGTGGTTCTGGTGGCCTCGGCCAGGGGCAAAGGACTGACAGACAGGACGGGGAGGGGAGGGGAGGGGAGAATCTGGGACACAGCCCACCCCCTGGGAAAGGTCCTGGGCACAGAGGTCTCACAGGAGCAGGGTGGGCTCCAGGGAGCAGGAAGAACGTGGCCCTGGGGACCCCTGTCTCCTTGCCAGATGGGAAGTTGCAGCAGATTGGACCCCAGGTCGGGAGTGAGCTCCCCGTCCACAGAAGAGCGCGAGTCAGTGACTTCAGCACCAAGCCGGGTGCCGCTGTGTGTCCCCTGGCAGGCCTGCCTGCCCGTGCAAGCACACGCCGCGCCCCAGGACTCCTCGGGGAGGCAGAGGCCACGGTGCCCAGGTCACAGCCCGCCCCATCTCCACAGGCTTCGTGAGCTTTGACAACCCAGCCAGCGCGCAGACCGCCATCCAGGCCATGAACGGCTTCCAGATCGGCACGAAGAGGCTCAAGGTGCAGCTGAAGCGGCCCAAAGACCCCGGACACCCCTACTGACCCTGCCCTCRGCCGCCCCAGGCTGTGGGCCTGGCCCAGGTGAGCCGCCAGGCGGCCCCACGCCCCGCCCCGTCTTGTCCACACCCTCCTCCCCTCGCTGATTCTCCAAACCCTCCCCCTGGGGATGCTGCAGGAGGCCAGGGGAAGCCCCCAGGGCGGGTTGGCAGGGACAGAGCTGGATGGAGATGCCCCAGTGACCTGTGGTCAGGGTGGATCAGAGGGTGGGGCGGGGCGGGGAGGTGGGGAGAGAGCAGGGCCCCAGGACGGCCAGGAAGGCTTCCTGGAGGAGGCCTTGAAGGATGAGGACWAGGTCACACGGAAGCAGGTTTGGTCGGTGAGGGGTGGGGAGGGGCTTTGTCCTGCCCTGTGCGTCCCTTCTCCCTGCTGGAGAGCTCTAAACCCCAGGGAAAAGGGTCCAGTGCGAACCCCAGACCCTGGTCCCTGAGGTGGGGGCTTCACGATATCCAGCCCCGCTGGGGACCAGGGCCGGAGCGCAGGACGTGGGGACAGTGCCCGGAGGCCTCTGTCCCCTCCCCACCAGCTCCGACCGGGCCCAGCTCCTCTAGTATCACACGCGCCCAGTCGAGAAGGCGGACGGGGTATACCGCCCACATCGTGCAGAAAACCCCCACAAACCCCCCAAGCGTGTTTTGCATAGAACAGACAAACTCATCCTCTCGGGGACGGGAGAGTAAGCCCAGGGTCAGCACAGTGGGCTCCCCAGGCAGGACCCAGCCAGGGGCCTGCTGGGTCTTTCTGAGGCCAAGCCCAGAACCCGCCACCTAAAAAGCTCTGGATAATTTGTTTTGACTCTTCTTTTTGATCACCCCGCCGTCATCATGAAGAACCTCACTGGGTCTGGTACAAAGTAGGAGCTCAGCTAGAGCCTGTCAGTGTGTTTTAGAGTCTGTGGGGCGCAGCACAGAGTGGGGGGACCCCACCTGCACAGTCACGCACTGCGGGAAAGTGCCTTTGGGGACCGCCAACCGGAAGCCACAACAAAGGCCACACTGCCGTCCACTCACTTTCCGCTCTCAGCTGGCAACCCTCACTGAGCACCTACTATGTGCGAGGCACTGTCACCAGCGTCTGGGGACTCAGCCACCAATGAACGAGAACATGGGGGGCAGAGACGGGAAGAAGCTGGCTTCTGGACTATAAATGGCTTGGAGTGGGGAAGGGGTCAAGAAGGGACCGCCCTCGTCCCATTGGTCCCCAGAACCAGGGGCTGTGCGCCCTGGACAATATGGGCCCCGGGTTCCCTGCCCCTTCCTGGCGTCCCCCGCTGTGCCCCAGGACTGCCCCTGGATGCCCTCCCCCCAGCTGAGGGGCCTCCGCCCCCAGGCTCCCCTCCCAGCCGACCCAGGCCCTCCTGCACCTGTGTTGGGTCACAGCCCTCCCTCCCCTCTGCCCTGACCCCGTCCCCAAAATGTGAAACCCTTCCGAAGGCCACAGTGAGGGGCCTTCTGCTCTGTCCTGGGTGGGTGTCTTCAGGACCCTCCCCGCCCACGGGACCCCCTTGGTGGCTTCTCGGAAGGAAGTCACCGCTTTCCCTGTATCTATATATATATGCGTATATACAGAGAGCTCTAGACAGTATATATATCTATTTTTGAGTATAGATCATGGGGCCAAACTTTTCGACTTCCTTCCATCCAAGAGGGTGACCCTGAGCCGGTCACTCCACAGGGACAGAGGAGGGGTCGAGGCTGGCTGGGCAGCCAGGTGCCCGTCCACCCACAGCTGGAACACCAGGCCAGGAACTCGCCAACAGAAATACCTCCGGGACTGTGGGCCCCCACCACCCGACCCCCGCAGGCCTCCGGGCCCGGCCAGCTGGAGCGTCCTGCCCGGGCCGCTGCTCTCCAGAGCCCCACCCTCTCCCCCTCCCAGGGGCCTGCCTTCCTGTGGCACCAAGAGACCCTCTGGCCTCCCTGCCCTCCCTGCGCCCACCCCTCAGTCATAGCCTTACTGTGTGACCAATAGCCCTTAGCTTTGCGCCGGGGCAGCCAGGGCTGGGGGAGGCCCCGTCCCTCACTGCCCCCCCCAGGGCAGGCCGCCATCGTCCCTGCCTGTGAATCACCAGCCTCGAATCTAAGGTCTTGTAACCAAGATCGCCAAGCGTGTTGGACCAGCCCAACCTGGACTGCCCAAGCACCCCTTTATCAGAGACCGTGACCTTGATAGTGACCTTCATACCTCGACAGATTTTTTTTTCTTTTTTTTTTCCTTTTTCTTTCTTTTTTTTTTTTCCTGTCTTTTTGAGCAGGTACAAAGAAGAGAAAAAATGGGGGGGGAAATCCAATGATAACAGATGTTTGTTTCTAGCGGGGGCCGGGGGTCTGGGGACGCTCCTGTACAGCCTCCGGCCGCCACGCCCCGTCCAAGCACAGAGGCGAGTCCGTCTGGACGTCCAGCCGGGCCTCTTGCCACAGGAGGCTCCGGATGACTTAAGCTCAAAAACAAAAAGAAATTTTTAAAAAGAAAAGAGACACAGCATTCCCTTCTGTTTCTACCAAAATGTGTGACTGACCTCGGGGGGTGGGGACCACAGCAAAAAGAAAAAGAAAAAAAAAAAAACTCCTGCAAACTCGTCCGGTTTCCAGAGTTTGGTGATGTTGCGAGCCACTCCTGTGCGTGCCTGTGTCCTGTCCCCCACGTGTGCAGTGGGTGCCACGCAGCCTCGCGGGGCCCGGCACCCGCCCCGCGGGCCTGCCTGGGAGCGTGTGCGGTGCCCTGTGCTGTCCTCTAGTCCATGTTTACTGGCTGTAAATACCATTTTTATACTCCACGTCGAGACCTGCGTGATTTGTACGATGTACTTTATTTCTGCTACAAGTAAATTCATGAAGTTTCAACCTGCAGACTGACTGACACACACACACACACTCACACTCACACTCACTCACACGCGAGAGCAAAGGAGAGGGCTCGGAGGGAATTTGGGTTGACTTGGTTTGGATTTTGTGTCAAAGCCGATTTCCCGTGCCTGGAGAGGGTCCTTGTCACTGTTGAGGTGTTCAGGTGACAAGCGTCTTCATGTCCAAACGCCTCTCTTTGGTCTGAGAAAAACTAAAAATTTATTTAATAAAAGTTTTACTTGCTAACGGTCCGCCTCTCGCCTTACTCTCCCTCCTGTGGGTGAAGAATTGTGGGGGAACTTTCTGGCTCTGCAGGACGGGTCCAGACCGGGAAGGGCTCAGGGTTCACCGGGTTCAGGTGGTGGGGACACCAGGGACAGTGACTGTGGAGGGAGGGTCAGCGGACCAAGATGGCCCTGTCATCGATAAACACTGTGTGCCAGATCCTGTCCCTGCCCCCTGAGGCCAAAGTCCAGGAGGAAGGTGGACAGAGACCAGAAAGCAGCCACCCCAATTCAAAAGGCCATTCCAGATCCTGCTGAGGGTCGGAATCTAAGTGTCGTGGGCGGGCCGGGGCCTTGTCCTGGGGTGAGGGGCCAGGGAAGGCCTTGGGGGGCATGCTGAGAGTCTGGGGTAGCCGGGGAGCCGCTGGCGGAGCATCAGCTGGCCGCTGGAAAAGGTTTGGAGGACACTATCCTCCCAAGCACCAATTATGCACCTACTGTTTGCCAGGCATGGTTTCTGGCCTGCCTTGTCCAACGGCAGCCAGTGGCCAGTGTGGATACTTAAATGCAGATGACGGCAGACCTTCTCTTCCTTGGTACCCAGAGCCCCCTTTCAGGGGTCAGTCACCCCGTGTCCTCATGGCAGAGAGCCCAACCGGCCACCCTGGTCCGAGGTGTAGGGGATCAACTCATTTAACCTGCCCCGACCCCTGGAGAAACGTCCTGCTGACAATATTAGTACACGGGGGTCCAGAGAGGCCGGGCCCTGCCTGAGACTCCCTGCCTGGTCCCAGCTGCTGGCCTGGGGGGACTGGCTTTCGAGTGCTCCTGCCCCAGTCCACTTTGGGCTTTGAAATGCAAGTCCCACCTTCCGTGTTGAGAACGTGCACCTTGTTACGGTGGGAGGTGGTGGCCCCCGAGGCTCGAGGGTRAGACCATGAAGAGGTTTTGAGGAGAAATGACTGAGCCACAGCCTTCACCTGATCCGTGAGTCGGTCCCTGATGGAATAACTGGGCGGTGGCCGGGGGCGGCCGGGGGCGGCCGGGGGTGCGGGTTTTGTATCTGGAGAGTGGAGGCTCGCCCTCTGCTCCCTGATCGCGTGTGAGCCGCCTCCCTGGCCACCCTCCCTGGACTGAGACCTCTGAAACCGCGATCCTCGGATAAACCTTCCCTCCTCCAGTACCGTTCTGGGGCGTCCTTTAGGTCACCGGAAGGACCCTCCCGACACAGCCTCTGAGTGGGTTCACTGCGTGAGCAGGGCTGCCACTGTCCCCACAGGATGTGGGGGAAGACCCGCCAGGCCCAGGTTCAGGACCCCAGGGGAGAGGGGAACCGTCTGGCAACTTGGGAATCAGCTCGTCAGCAGTGAAGAGGCCGCCTCACCCCAAAGGGGCCAAGACCTCACGGGAGAAAGCAGCCCCCACCAGCCACCGCGGGCTGGTGACATCGTTCCTGGCTAGAGGCAGAGCTGATTCAAAGGGGGAATTTTCATGTGTCCTTCTGGGGGACAGGCGACCTGGCACAACACAGGCCAGCTAGCTGTCACTGTGTCCCAGGTCACCCCTGCAAATCTAACAGCTTAAGACAGCACACATTCATTGTCTAACCCGCACACTTTTGTGGGTCAGGAGTCCCAGAAGGGCTCAGCCAAGTGACCTGGGGCCTCTCAGGTCACCAAGGCCTCCTCACCTGCAGGTGCTGGGGCTGGGACAGCTGCTGCCCAGCTGCCTCCTCCACACACACAGCTGTGGGCAGAGGGAGGCTCCAGAGTGCTGCTTGGGCTTCCCCATCACATGGCAGCCTTCTCCCCCCACAGTGGGGGTTCGAGGAGAGAGGATGCCACAGAAACTGAGGTGGGCAGGATGTTTCACCTGGAGAGGATCAGAGGCCACCAGAGCCACACACCAGGGAGACCTCACCTGGGACAGGAACCTCTGTGTACCCTTGGCTCCTGGGGCACAGGCACTGCTTTGTTGAAAGAAGAAAAACATCTGAGTGGTCACCAGGTGGCGGTCACACCTGGGGCAGCCTGGGACTTTAACCCTTGGTGTGTCCGGATCCCCTCAGTTGGCCCGGAAGGTCTGTGGAGCAGGGAATGGGCGGGAGGCGGGCATCGGGCAGCGGGCAAGGGCTGGTTCCACCCAGACCCAAGAGCCTCAGGGTGGCCTCGGAATGGCCAGGGCCACTCTGGGACCTAGTTCACAGGTGGGGGCGACAAAATGGAGGGCTCAGGCTGCAGAGCTGTCCCGCTGGTCCTCAGGCAGGCCAGAGCGGCGCTAGAGGGCCGGGGCGCTGACCTCCACCCGGGAGCCCAGCTGCCCCAGCCCGCCACATGCACCAAAGGCACAGCGCTCGCGTCCAGACCAGGCTGTTCCGGGTTCGAGTCCGATTTGACGCTTGGCAGCAGCTTGGACAAGCAGCGAAGTCGTCTGAGCTGTTTCCCTCGGGAAACCGGGTTAACAGGAAGCCCTCCCCGGTCTGGACCCGTCTGGCAGAGCCAGGAAATTCCTTCAAAATTCACTCTCCGGAGGCTTCGCCCGGRCCACCAGCAGGGGGCAGCAGAGACCTACGCGGCGTCCAGAGCGGCCTCCGCGCCGAGGGCCAGCGCCGCGGGTGACTCCGCCTGGTTTCTGTCCCGGGTTCAAAAGCTACCTCGTCCGAACTTTTTTGCGCATCCCCTGAAGCCTGCAGCGCGGGCGCCGCGTGTCCACCCGTGGCGCCCGTGCTCTCCCTCCCCCGGCCAGGAGCCCTTCGCTTCCCCCCTGCGGCTCCCAGATGCTGGACCGTAACAGACGAGTGGCCTTCCAGGCACAGGGACGACCTCGGCCAACAGGTAGGCGTTTCCTAGGCCCTGGTTCGCCTTTGGGCTGCACAGAGCCTGGAAGCCGGGCGCGCGGAGGCCGGAGTAAGAAACAGGGCGGGAGGCCCGGCCTCCAGATCTGCTGAGCGACCTGGTCTTTCTGCCCGTGGACCTTCCTGCCTGGTCCCGTCTGTAGAACGGGGCTCGTGACGGTGCACGTCCAGAATTAGGGCAGATCACAAGGAACGCCGCGAAAAACAGCCTTAAATATTATAGGGTGAAAATAGGGCCTCCTCGCGTCAGAAGTGAATTCTGGGACCTTCCTCCTACTGACCTCAAGTGTCAGTACGCATTCGTTAACCACCGACTGTGTGCTAGGGGCTCTGGTGGGTCCTGCAGGGAACAAACCGTACAAACCCCCTGACCACGCCCACAGCGCCAGGCCTGCGCGCCCCGCCTCCAGCCCCCTCTCTGCCCCACCCCGTGTGATCTACATATTCATGAGCCGTCAGCCAATCCACAGTCTGAACCCTTCAGAGCCCAGGTGACGGTGATGCCAGGAGTGACGCCTAAAGCGATTCTTAAAGGCGCAGTAACTTCTCAAACAGGAGGCTGGACAGGAGTCTCCGGATTCTCGGTGGCCTCAGCTGGCACAGCTCCAAGAGGCGGGTTGGGGTCCAGGCTCGGAAACCAGCGCAGAGCAATGACGCTTGAACAGTTTTGCCCTCCTGGGTGCGATCCAGGGGTGCGAGTCGAGCCTCGTGGCCCCCGCAGGCACTTTGCCCCAGCCTGGACTTCAGCACCGGGGGTCCCGGACAGCTCCGAGCCCTGGACAGAGGGACCCGTGCGGTGCGGGCGGTGGATGCGAGTGGAGGGAGCTTTCCAGTGTGGCTTCCTTTAGAAGCCAGTCCACAGGGGTGCAGGCCTGGTCTTTGTATGCCCGATGGTCCTCCTCCATCACAGTGTCACAGGAGTCAGCCGCCAGTCCGTGAACCCTCCCGACTTCTCGGAGTAGGTGCTTCTCAGGACATCAGAGCTCGAAGCCCTGGCCTCCGCGTGGGGGCACACGCCCCCCTGGACCCCTCCTCCTCGGTCAGCTCCATCTGAGCTCTTCACCCTCATTACACGCAGTCCTGCCCAGCTCACCTGGACAGCTGGCTCCACTGTCCTGCTCTCCACCCGCAGCGGAACCCATCAGAGGCCTCGGGTGAGCATGACTGTGCGTCCATCCCCCATCGACCTGAGTTCCCCAAGGGCAGGAGGGGGGTCTGTTTTGGGTCCTGTTATGTCCCTAGTGCTCAGTGCACAGACTGGCATACAGTAGGTGCTCAGTAAAAGTCTGACAAAGGAATAAATGAGTGGGTGAATGAAGGTCACTGCACCCAGCGTTGGCTCTGGGACATCTGATGACCCACTGGCTCTCACAACAAAATCTGCAAAGGGCACATCAGGGGTCCCCTGTGCCGACGGGGAGACAAGACCCAAACATGGGAGCAACTTGCCCCGCGGAGCAAACCCAGCAGACGTCCCAGAGCTGAGTCCCTACCAGAGGAGTCTCCAGGGGCGGAGGCAGGGCTGCAGAGGGTGGGGGTGGAGGTCAAGGGTCAGAGGAGGCCTTCCACGCAGCAGGCAGGGCCAGAGCCGGGGTGAGGCCTGAGGCCAAGCCCTTGCCCAGGACGGTGCCATGCTGTGACGGGTCCCAACAGCTGGACGTCCTCACCAGCGCTCGGCACTGCCGGGTCTTGAGTGTTACTTTAGCCATTCAGACACACGCCTGTGATGTCGCGCAGTGGACTCGCCTCCCTGCTGGGGACACACTGCCCCTCTCCTGGGAGTTCCCTCTGCTCCCTTGGCTCACCTGGTCGCCTTACCTGGCTCGCTCCTCCCTCGGGAGTCTCCAGTCGTCTGTGCCCGGGATGCGGGCTCTTCGTTAGCTGTGGGCGGGCGGCCGTCTCCCTCCTCTTTCACGGGGCGGACTTCCTGATCCTGACGGAGCCTGGTCCACCACCCTCTTCTTTCACGGGCTGAGACTTTTCCCCTGTAACCGTGGTTTGTCTGCCTTTAGGTCTGCGATCCGTTTCGAGGTGGCCGTCGGTGTGAGGCGAGGTGGTGCGTGGCTGGCCAGGCCTGCGAGTTGAAGCCTCCCGTCCCCCTTGATTCACTGGCCACTGTAGGGGCATCTGCTGACCGTGCCTGTGCCTGCCTGTTCCCGACTCGGTTCTGTTCCAGGAACTGGTGGGCCCATCCTTTGGTCCCTGCCACATTGTCTAGATTGAGAGCTGACGGAAGCCAGACAGGAAACCTACTGGGCAGGCCACAGCCGCTGGGCCGCTCTCCCACTGGGCCCTGAAAGCGGCCAGTGTGAAGGGCAAGTGAACGCCACGCTGCGTCCCAGTGACACTGTGCTCACAGAGACAGGCAGGGGCCACGTTTGCAGGCCCCCTGCTGACCCTGCCCCTGCATGCACAGGGGCCAGGTTCTTGGTCTGCGTTACTGGTGGTCAGCGTGGAATAAGGGAGGGTGGCTCTTCCCATTTTGTTCTTTTTTCCTGGTTCTGGGTGGAACCCAGGCCCAACACATGCTGAGCAAGCGCTCTACCGCAGAGCTGAGCCTTTAATCAGAATCGCACTGAATTTATGGGTCAGTTTGGGGAGAAGTTGACAGCTCAGCAGTGTTGATTCCCTCAACCTTGAACCCTGCATCAGTCAGCTTTCTGTTACTGTAACAAGTACCTGAAAAGAAGCAGCTACTAAAGAGAAAAGGTTTATTTTCATTGTGGTCTTGGATATTTCCATCCCGTGGTCAGCMGGCCCGTGGCTTTGGCCTGTGGTGAGGCGTGCATCCTGGAGGAGCATGCGGGGGAGCACGCGGGGGAGCAGACCAGGACCCAAAAGAGAGGAAGAGACAGGGTCCCRGATCCCCTTAAGGGCCTTGCCTCCTGGAGGCTCCATCCCTCCCCAAACCGCCACCTGGGGACCAGGCCTCCAGTCCACTGGCCTTTGGGGACACTCAGGATCCAAACCCTGGCGCCTGCTGGTCTCGACTCCCTCAGTTCCGTTCCTCAGCCGTTTCCCGCCTCCCAGGTGTGGGCTCGGGTGGACGCGGCCGCTCAGCACAGGACCTTGGCCTCCTGCGCCCTCTGTCCCCCGCACCCCCTGTGTTAGGGTTTTAACCCCTCCTCTGCCTTCAGGAACGTCYATTGGGCTGGGTGCTAGAGCCCTGCCCGTGCCCGCACCCCAAGAATCACCGCGAGTTTCTGCTTTGTGACCCGGCACAGGGCACGGCCCTCCCAGCTCCCGGCGCCGGTCAGCCCGGCTCTTGGGCTCCTGGCTCAACACCCCTCTGATGCCACTGTCCCTTCACAGGGAAAGAGGCGGCGGCCGGCTCTGCGGCTCTGCGCCCTGGGGGCTGAGCAGGCTCCCGCACCTGGCTCTCCGCGGCCGGTTAGACCTTCTCCTGAAGCCCATTTGAGTCCTTTTAACAAATGGCTGGGCTGGAAGGAAAGCGTCCGTGATCCGCGGACGCAGATGGACGAGGTGGCGCGGTGGGGACAGCCCAGAGAGGTTGCTGGGGAAACGGAGGCACGCCRCCGGCAGAGGCCTGAGGACCTGGCCCCTCTGCTCTGGGGACTGGGGGACAGGAAGTGGGGTGGGAGCCCCCACCAGCGCCCTGGCCCCGCTGTGGGCAGGTTCGGTCACCGGGCGAGGCCTCGTGGGCCCCTTCCCTGGCGTGGAGAAGTGCCCTCTCTCCAGCGTCTCTCCTCCCTCCGTCCCGCGGCCTCCCGCCGCCCGGCTCCAGGGCCACCTCCACTTCTGCGCCCCCAGGCCCGGCTCATCCCGCCAGCCGCACATCTGTGGGTAATTGCCTCCTGCGACCACAAGGTACCGAGGCAAATTATAGCTACGGGCAGGGCCTCCACGTGGGCGAGCGGAGGCCGCCGGCGGGGCGTGGCCAGCCGAGGCCCCGCCCCCGCCCCGTCGCGCTGACCAGGCCCCGTCTGTCTCTCGGTGGAGATCCGCGGGAAGGTCTGCTTCCCTCCTCCTCGGCCCCTCAGAGGGTCGCCCCAGGTGCCGGGGGCAGCAGCGACGGACAGAAACCCCCGGCCCACAGCCCGTCCTCCAGGGGAAACCCAGGGGCCTGCTGAGGAGGTGGACACCAGCTCCCCTAGAGCCCTGCGCAGCCCTGGGCAGGTCACCTCCCCTCTCTGAGCCTCAGTTCCCTTCTCTGAAATGGGGACAAGGACAGCCCTGACCTCCTAGATCAATGGCCGACGTCATGAGGCTAACTCCCAGCCCCGAGCAGAGCTCAGAGGGTGGACCCCAGCCGCACGGTGGGCCGCGCCTGGCCCTGGGCTGCTCTTCCTGTCTATGCTGGGGACAGTGGCAGTGCTGGCTCCAGCGGCTCTGGTCAGGGCTGGCATGCAGTAGGTGCTGCTCCATCCCGCCCTTCCTCAATGGCCGCTGTGTCCACTGGTGCACGGCACAGCCCTGGGCGTTGCCCCTCGCAGTCCCTGATGCTGGGGGAGGACCCTCAGCCCCCAGTGCCCAGGCTGGGGCAGGGGCTTCGCGGGCTGTCCAGTGGGGCTCAGGGAGAGATCCGGGCGGTGGGCAGTGCCGCTGTGGGTCTCACCTCCTGTCTCTGGGCTTTCCCAGCGGCTGCCCCTCTGTCCCTCGTCCCTGTCCCTCCGTCTGCATCTGTTTCCCCTGGTTCTGTCCACCTCTCTTGGGGAGCATGAGGACTGGGTTTTGAAGGGTGCGTAGGAGCTGATGCCAGGACCAGGGTGTCCAGGGCAGGGGGAGGGCTTCCACCAAGGCCTCGAGTCCCAGGGGTGCCCACTGCCACCAGGAAGCCGGGAGCTGGGGAGCCAGCCGCCGGGGGACCATGAGGGGTGGAGGGAGGAGGGCAGGGACAGCGCTGCAGCTGGAGGCTCCTGAAGGGCCCAGGGCTGAGCAGAGGGACGAGGCCAGAGTCCCCTGTCCCCAGTGTGCCACCTGCTTTGCCTGCAAATTCCTGGGATGCACCCTGGTCCCCAACGGTGCCCTGTACCTGCCACCCCACACATCTGGTTCCCTCCGTCCACCCCTAAGAAGCCCCAGCACCACATGGACAGGCAGAGGCCAAGGAGGTCCAGCCTGATGCCTTCCCAGCCGCTTCGCAGCCAAGGGGCACTTCCTCCCCAGGGAAGTCCTGCCTGCTGTCTCCCTTTAGTCCTGCCTGCTGTCAGTGTAGGGCCAGGACATCCAGCCCACGCAGATCAGTGACGGGCCCTTTGTCCAGTTTGGACACAGGCTCGGTGTCCACAAATGCACCACGATGACTAAATAATGAACTCAAAGGCCCCTGCGGGTCTCAGAAGTCGGAGAAGAAAACCAGATGAGGGGGGCTCCTCCGTGGGGTCTGCGTCTCTGCCCACCCTTCCCGGGGCTGCTCCTGTGGGGAGGCGGGAGCCCCAAGGAGCCCGGGCACTGACCCAGGCTGGGTCCCTGGTAGGGCTCTGTCCCCGAAACAGGGCCCCACGGTCCTCCTGCGGGGCAGCACCTGGGGTGCCCTCTCCAGACTCCCCGCGGCCCCTCATGAACCTGGGGTCCTGCCCGGGCCCCGGAGGCCGTGGGGTGGCAGCGCCCCGGCCGCCTGCCAGCTCCCTCCGCCCACCCGGCCCTGTGGTCCTTGGCGGCAGCCGGCCGCGGGCGGGAGCGCTGGCTGCTTCCGGGGGTGGGGGGTCTCCAATCAGCGCCGAGCCTCGTCCACCAGCCCACACTGGGGCCGCCGTGCCAGCTGCGCCCGGGCACGCGCGCCCGCCCTGCACTGGGCTCCCGGGGCTGTGGGTGGCCACTTGGTGAGACGGGCCTGGGGCCAGCGCCCGCCCTGCTGCTGCCCTCCTGGCCCGGGCACCTCCTCCAGCCTCCTGAGGGGCACATGGAGGCCGGGCGCCCGCCCCTGGGTGCCCGGCGGCCCGCGCAGCCCGCAGCTCTGTCTGAATAAGGGGACGGGGGCCGCCCGCCGCCCGCCCAGGATGGAGGTGCCGGGGCCCCCGGGGTCCAGCCGGCCGGGGGACAGCGCGGTCAAGTGGCAGCTGTGCTACGACATGACGGCCAAGATGTGGTGGATGGTGAGTGGCAGCGGCGGCTCGGACCCCCGGGTCTCCCCCCCGGCAGGGGCTCTGCCGGGAGTCGGGGCTGGGCAGAGTGGCCAGGAGGGGACAGCAGGCAGAGGGAGGCGGTGTCGGCCCCTCAGCCCTGGAAGTGAGTCCCAGCTGCCCTGGCACCTGGGGCCCAACCCCCCCCCGCCGCTGGTGTCACCGCGGGTGCCCAGCAGCCTCCTGCCCACCTGGCCCACCTGCGGGGACTTGGGGGAGACCCCTGCTGTCCTGTGGCAGCGAGGCCCAGGGAGCCCGGCCACACCCAGGCTCGGGGCAGGAGCGCGGGCCAGGGCGCTGTGTGACCCTGGCCAAGACGCGCCCATCTCTGTGTCCTGTGTCCAGAGAGCGGGTGGGGGGACGCTTCTCCGTCCGGCCTGGATGGTGGGCAAGGACCAGGGGAAGGCGGCGGGCAGCGGGAGCCTGGGTCACTCAGGGAGGGCCAGGCACGCCCCACATTTGGCTCCTTCTGGAAGCTTCCGGGGGTAAGGCCACAGGCTCTGAGCGGGCACCCAGCCGGATGGAGCAGAGCGATTCCGGGGCGACCCCAGGAGCAAGATGGGACAGGGCCTGGCTGGACGTCCGTGTCTGGGGACCTGGAAGCCCCTGCCCGCCTCTGTCCCTGTGTCCATCCCTTCATCCAGCGGCGGGGCGCGGCGGCCATCTGCAGCGCTCTCACGCGGGCTGGACCCGGCACCCCAGGGCCACCAGCCCGCTGTGTGCCCCTGGGGCAGCGCCACCCTCTCTGGCCTGCAGGTCCCTCTCCAGGAGGTGCATGGGGCCTGGACAGCTGCGGCCTCCTGGCCCGGGCACGGGGGGTTCTGGGGAGAGTCGGGCCTCAGAGGGCCACGCGGCTCCGCCTGACCTCAGGGACCCTGGCGGCCGCCGTGTCTCCGAGGGTGACCGGGCCTGTGCCCACGTGTCCAGGGTCTCAGCACAGAGACCCCCGGCCCCAGGAGCGCCACGCCCCGGTTCTGTTTTCTGTTCCTCATGGGTCAACACGGACTGAGTACCGTGACCCGGGTCCCATTGTCACCAGGACACAGCAGTGACCAAGAGAGATGAGGCCCCGAGCACTGTGCTCTGGGGAGACGGGAAGAGGGTCTTGGTGACGGGGACAGGAAGGGCTGGGGTTCTGGGTGATGTGGGACGGCTTCCCTGAGGAGGGGACATCACACTCCAGGCAGAGGGCACGCTGTGCAAAGGCCCTGGGGCAGGACGCGCCTGGCCTGTTGGGGGCACAGCGAGGAGGAGCCTGGGCTGGGACGGGGGCGGGAGAGGGGGACAGGGCAGGTCGTGCGGGGCCCTGAGGCTGCAGGGAAGACTTGGCACTGACCCCGAGGGCGCAGGAGCCACGGGCCTTGCTCGATCTGCAGTCCCTGAGGCTCCTGGGGAGAAGGGGTGGAGGGCTGACGTGGCAGCGGAGCCCGGGCACCGTGGGGTCTGGGGGAAGGGCAGGTGGCGGGGACTGCTCCAGGTCACACGGCTAGTGAAGGGCCGCGTTGGCAGTGGGAGAGAGGACCCGGCCGGCCGAGGAGAGCCGCCTCCCTATTCAACTCCAAGGTTGTATCAATTGAGGTGGAAGCCCCAGTACAGGGGAG